TTTTTTTCCTCTGAAATTGTAGGAAATGACGTTAAAATATATTTTAGAAAGCTAAAAAAGCTTTTTGGAAAAAAAAATTTTTTTTACGAAATTTTGGGGGTACCCCATTTTGCCACCCCTACCCCATTTTGCCCCCCCCTCCCCTATTTTAAGCATTTTAATTTTTAACAATTTAAAATTGTTAACAGTAAGAAGAAGACTCTTAGGAAAACTCTAATTAAATATTTTATCGACATAAATACACAGAAAAAAAAATTTTTTGAATTTAAAAAAAAAAAAGGTTTTTCAATTAAGTATATAATTTTGAAGAACTTCATTTTCTTGATTTGAGTAAAAAAATTCTTAAACTAAAAAATTTTTACTTGGTTTAAGTAAATTTTACTTGATTCAAGAATTTTTAGTCTTGATTCTAAAGAATTACCCTCTTTAAAATTATTTTCTTGGTTCAAGAATTTTCCTCTTGAATCAAGATAGTTTTTTTTTTTTCAGTGTAGAAATAGAAAAAAATTTTTTTTTCATTTTCATAGTTACCTTTCTTTTCAAAAAAAAAAAATAAAAAAATGTATAACAATGAAAAATTATAATTCTTCATTTTTTTTAGTGTTGCAAAGAGTTATCAATGCGATGGAAGAAGATTGGAGTGTTTCAAGAAGTGATGAAGAATTTGCAGTTATGCTTAAAACTGCTAAGATAAGTCGAGCTATTTCCGTAATCTCTACTGCGGTCACTAACAGCCTTTTTGTAGCATATATATTTTTTAAGGAAAGTTGATTTATTATAATTCCTACACGGCAATGATTATTATATTTTAAATTAAAATAATGAACTTGCATTGATTGTAGATATGGGAAGGCTACGAAATGTCAAAACGAACGGACCTAGATCCTCGATTATCAGTAGGACTACTTCACCCCGCGTACTTTCCTTATGATACAAAAAAAATAAGATTGTTTGTTCCTACATGGATAGCACAACTAATAGCGACATTTTTTTCAATGACTGCATACGCTGCTTTCGATACATTTATGTCGTGTATGGTGCTCCATATTTGCGGTCAATTGGCAGTCGTTGGCATAACGTTGAGGAAACTTATTAATGAGAGCACGAAAAATAATCCAAGGAAGTTTTGGAGCGAATTTTCAATAATAGTTGAACGACACGAAAAACTAAACGAGTAAGGTTTTTTCAATACTTCAGTGAGAAATATTTTAAGATTTTAAATAAGTTATTTAGAAAACAAATCTTATGTTCCAATCATCAAGATTAGCTAAAGTAATTGAAGACTCATTCAGTTCCATACTTCTTCCACAAATGATTATTTGCACTACTACTTTTTGTTTTCAAGGATTTGCAATGATCTCGGTAATAATAAAATTAATTATTAATTTTTGTATTAATTTATAAAACTAATCAAATTATTTGGCACAGAGTTTCATTAATCCATTGGCTGGAAAAGTATCTGTTCTTGAAATGTTATTTTCAATTGTATACGTAATTTACACCGTTTTACATCTATTTGTTTATTGCTACGTTGGTGATTATTTATCATTTGAGGTAAGTTAATTTTCTTCAAGTGATTGTAACAAATTTTAAGCTATCATAAATTAAAATAACTATTTTCTTTATTATAGAGTTCACGAATTGGTGAAGCATATTACAAAGGGAATTGGTATAATTTATCTGTAGACAAATCACGATCATTGATGTTCGTTGGACATCGCGCCCGAAGACCTTTAAAAATAACAGCCGGGAAATTTTGTGCGTTTTCGAGAAATTTATTTCTTGTAGTAAGTCGAGTATTTTTCTTTTAAATCAAATTATTCATTATTTTTTATTTTTATTAAATTAGTTGATGTTTTTAGGTTCTGAAAACCAGTTTTGGGTACTTATCTATGTTATTAGCAGTTAAAAAAGGAAATCCTTCGTAAACTCCTTAAATAATAAATATTTATATAATCCAATAATATTACCTTAGAGATTAATTTTCCGTAAAACAGAAATGGTCCATTAACTGCTCTTACTTATACACAATACATAATTTCATAAGTTTTAAGTTATTTAATAAAAAAAAAAAACAAAAATTTTTTAAACTAAATTATTAATAATTTATTTATTAGGTACATATCCGACTTTTCCTTAAATGATAATTTTTTTTCTATATAAAAAAAGGTATTCTCTCACTCTTAAAAATGAATCGTGTTATATATAAACACTCTCTTTAGACTATGTTATTTTTGTTCGAAAAAAAAGAACTAAAATTTTTTTTTTCAAGCTCAGATTACAAGTGCTTTAAATGACAAAAAAAAAAGTATTCACTAGGTACTTAACAACGCGCAACTATTCACGACGCATATTCGACATATGGTTGAATGAAGTTTACCCAATTATCTTATAGATCGATATTTTTCCTTTAAATTTTAAAACTTCTTCCCGGGTGTCTAGTATTTTCAGTGGTGTTCTCTCAGTAGCTGTTAGACATTCACCTGAAAAAATGGAATATAGCCAGGGTATTCTTAAATTTTTTGCACATAAATAATAATAAGACGTACAACAAATTTATATTATAATTAAGTAATACTTTTTATCTAAAAAGGTTTCAAGTTTGCAATAGCGTTCAATCAAGCTAGTTTGAAATTTGTGGGGCTCTGGCCAGAAGCAAATGACGGATATATTACTAAATTAAAAGCTTGGTTTGGTGCTTCGTTGATATTTTTGACTATTTATTTACCTCAATCAACATTAGCTTACCTTAATTGGGGTAATATGAACGCTGTCATTGAGAGTCTTTCTATCAACGGACCAATATTTATCGCAATAATTAAAATTATCATTTTTCGTCGTTACAGAAAAGGTAAATTCAGTTAAATTGCATAATATATTTTACTAAAAAATATTGATAATATTCCTATAATTATTTTTAAGTAATTAATTAATAAACTTAAAACTTTTTTTTTAGTGTTGAGAGTAGCGATCGATATGATGGCAAGAGATTGGGGTGAAGTGAGAAGTAAAGAAGAATATACAGTGATGCTTGAGACTGCTAAAATTAGTCGAATTATTTCAATAATTTCTACTATAATTACCAATTCTCTTTTTATTGCATTTGTGTTTTTTAAGGTCAGTAATTTAATGTCATAGCTAATTATTAATTAATAATCAACTGAGTTATCCATCTCTTATATCAAATTTTTTTATATAATTCTAGATTTGGATCGGTAAGCAATTGATAAAACGAACTGATTTAGATTCCCGGTTGTCGGATCCACGGTTACTTTACCCTGGATACCTGCCTTATAACTCAAGACTAATGATATTCTTCATACCTTCATGGATAGCGCAATGCTTTGCCACAATTTTTTCCATGACAGCATACGCAGCTTTTGATACGTTTGTCTCAGCAATGGTGCTCCATATTTGCGGGCAATTGAAAGTTGTTGGAATTTCGTTAAAGAATCTTATTAACGATGACGTTGAAAATGACTTAGAAGACTACTTGCATAAGTTTTCAAAAATCGTTGAACATCACGAAGAAATAAACAAGTAAGAACACTGATAAAAAAATTATCTTGATTTTAGAGAAAAAATCTTGAACCAAAGAACATGATTTTGAAGAGTTAGATCGTCTTGAATCAAGAAGTAAAAGTTTTTTAAGAAAAAAATTATTTTTGGTTCAAATAAATTTTACTTGATCCAATAATTTTTTTCTTGATACAAAACAATTTTTTAGATTTAAGATTTTTTCTCTTAGGATAATTTTTTTTATCATATAAATAAGGTAAGAATTTGTGAATAGTTAAGGCAAATCGAATACAATTCACTATTTACTATTTTATTGTTTTTTTTTTTTTTTTTTTTTTTTTTTTTGTATAAGCAGACTAGCACAAACAATTGAAAATTCATTCAATTTAATTCTTTTGCCTCAAATGTTTGTATGTACCGTAACGTTTTGCCTTCAGGGATTTGCAATGATCTCGGTAATTAGAATTTATTTAAATAAAAATAAACATTTCTCAACTATTCTAATAAAACTATTGAAAAAATTTGCCTCAGAGCTTCATAGATCCATCTGCAGGAAAAATTTCTATTTTTGAGATGTTATTTTCTATTGTCTACGTATTTTATACCGTTTTGCATTTATTTGTGTACTGTTATGTCGGAGATTTTTTGTCATTTGAGGTAAATAAGTTTTATCAATACAAAACATCAATTTAATAAAATAAAATCATTTCTATAGAGTACTGTAATTGGGCAATCATACTACTTCAGCCGTTGGTATGATTTATCACAACAGAAAACACGGTCTTTAATGTTCATTGGTCATCGTGCCCGCAGACCTTTACTACTTACGGCAGGAACGTTCTGTGCTTTTTCGAGAAATTTATTTATCGCTGTTGTGAAGACATCTTTTGGCTATTTATCGATGTTATTAGCTTTAAAGCAAGATTAATTTCCTGTCTAGAGTTACTACAAGTAGTTTTCAGAGTGTTAGTAATAACAGTAGATTTTTTACATGAACTAAATTTAATTGGTCAAAAAACTAATTTGAGTTATTCATTTTATTTATATAAAATTTAAAATAAAGCGCTTAATTTATGAATTCTTCATAATCAACGTATAGTTTTATAATTTATAACAATTAATCACTCGACTATAAAGTATATGTGTATAATTTTGGTAGTTCGATAGATTTTTTACTACTGACAGTTTTTAGCAGAGTTTTATTCGAGCAAAACTTTTTTCATTTATGATGCAAATGATCTTATAAAGAAACAAGTGAGGTAATTAATAATGAATCATTCATGCGCACTGTGTTAAGAATAGTTTGACAATCTTGAAAATAATCAATAAAATGTATCATAAGCGACAGTTATCACTCAACCACTTGAGAATGGACATAAAAGGATCAGGTATACATTGAGTGGTAAAAATACTCGTGAAACTTTAAGAAAATAAATGTTATTGTTCGGAAAAAAATTTTAAACCAATATGTACAATTTTTAATTTATAAATTAAATTTACTTCAAGAAATTTTGATTTTAAAAAATTTATCAATTTTTTAATATTTTGAAAAATACAATATTTAAAAAAATTAGTCTTGGGTAGTTCGCGAACGACCTAGGTGGGAAGAGCGCTCCTTTAGCTGAACTATGCGAACTAGTTCATTGATAATCCCGCTCTTAGTTCTTTTTAGTAGATTTCATAGAAATCTAACTATTGCAATGGTCCTCATGACGAAACTTTTGAAAAATTTTGCTATATTCCGACTTAACTCGACGAGCTGAGTCAGAAAATACATATGGTTCAAAAGTATATATATATATATATATGTATAAACGATATAACGCGGCTTGTCACCACGATAGCGTCGCCAATTTACAATGGATCTTTACCAAACTCAACATACTTATTCTACAGATAGATACCGAGGTCAAGTTCGAAGATGAGCTTAATCGGTCCAGTAATTTAGAAATGCCATGATTTCAAAATTTTCAAAATCATAAAAAATCATAAAAATTTACATTTCTTCATTTTCGTACTTGAATAACTTTTTTTTTTCTTTACTGTACACCAGCAGTAAGGAAACAAGTAACGAGTTAAAGTGAAATAAGGTTTTAGTCGCCGGTTTACTCGAAATCCATGATTTTTTTCTATTTATGATGAAATCTACTTCCATTTCGACTGCCGAATGGTCTTTTTTTTATATTTCTTTTAGGGTCCAATTTACAAGACAGTGGCAAATTATTAAAACCAAATAAAGTTTCGACACTCTTATTTTTACATAGTAATATGTAAAAAATAGTCTTCAAAGTTTCTAACGTGTAATGACTATCGTGAAATTTTTAATCTGATACTATGAACAAGTTAGGTTCTTATCTAATTATTAATATAAATGAATTTGTTTTTTTATTTCATCATTAGTATTTGTTTAACAATATCTTATGTGATTACGTATTATAATAAGAACAAGACCAATTGTTGACTAATTAGTAACATAAATTATTTTATCTTTTCATTTTTATTTAAGAAATAGATTTTATGTGCCATAAAAAAATTTTAACTTTGATTGTAAATTTCGTACTTTTCTAGTATTGTAATAAGATTACCTATTATACTACGAACGAGACTAGTTGTTGACTAATTATTATTATTATTATAATGAATTATTTTATTTTTCATTATTTAAATAAAAAAATATATTATATAAATAGACGTGGGAACTTTTCATGTAATACTTGGTACTTTTTAAATACAAATAAACAGAACTTGCAATAATCATAACTATATTTTCTTCTTTATTTATTGTTCTTACTAAATTATTTCAAAAAACGAACTAATGAACTAATAGAGCGAACTAGTTCATCCTTGGATTATGAACTAAATTGAGCGCTCTCTGTGGGGACCGGTTAGGCCCAAGACTAAAAAAAATAAAAACTTTTTGGGTTGAACCTAAAAAAATTTATCGCAAAATTGTCAAAAAAATTTGTTTTTTTATAATTAATTAAGATGATATTTGAAATAAAATATTATTCTAAAATTAAACAAATTTCAGTTTATTTTTCTAAATTACTTAAATAAAATGATCTTTTTGAAAACTTTTAAAACAAAAAGATGTAGCATAAGTAGATTTTGTTTAAAATGAGCATAATTGTATATTAGGGTTCAATTATGCTTGCCAATGGAGTGAATTGAGTTTACGAATCCTTGGAATATGGCCCAACGCTCATTACAGTACTCGAAGTAAACTTCGAGCACATTTCTACATTATTTTTGTCCTTCTCGTTTATTATCTTCCACAAACTTGGACAATCGTTATTATATTTGGGGATATTGATAGTATGATCAATTTACTATCTTATAACGTTTCCGGATTAGTAGCGATCGCTAAATACATTGTCATTTATAGACACAAAAAAAGTGGGTTGATTCAAGACTAGAAAAAATGTTCAAAACAATGAACTGATTTAAATTTTGATTTCAGTTTTAAAAACAATAATTCAAAAAATGTCCGAAGATTGGAGAGCAAATAACTCGGACTATGATTTAAAAATAATGATTGGTAATGCTAGGATTGGACGAATATTGGCATTCATATCTATTCTGTATGCTCCACTGATTGTGACTCTACATATTCTTGTCACGGTAATTAATCTGTAATCATTGTTCTGCAGATAAGAAATATAAACTTATTTTCTTTATTTGTAGATGTTTCTTAAGCCAGATAAAGATCTTCTTTACGCATCAGTTCCGACTGTAGCAAACAATCTGATGTGGCCAAGTTATTTTCCGTTTGATACATCCAGAAAGTATGTCTTTGAGGCTACTTGGTTTTGTCAAATATTAGCGACAACAGGAGCGTCTTTGATATATGGTACATTTGATACATTCATCGGGGTAATTGTTCTACATATTTGCAGTCAGCTTGCTATTGTTCGAAAAAGATTGCGAAATCTTCATAATGGTCTGAAATCACAATATTCACTTTCACATAATTTAATTAATAAAAAACTTTCTGCTATTATTAAACGACATGAGGAACTTATCAGGTGAAATATACATACATTACTACACACGTTTTCATAAAACACAGTGATTACTAATAAAATTATTTGCTATTTTCATGATCTAATTTTTATAAAAATTAACAATAGTTAATAAAAAAAATATTATCAATTTTTTTAGAAAATTATTAGGAAAAAATTTTACTAAGTTACCAAAAAAAAATAGAATTTATTTCTTTTAAAAATTAATAGTCATATGTTATATAAAAAAAAATTAACCATTGACAATACTGTTTTTTAAAAAATTATGATTATCAATAATTTCGACGTTCTAATTAGCAAATTGTCTAACTCAATTTTAGAGAATCTTTTATTTGTCCGAAAAAAACAATTAGTTTAAAATTTATTATCACTTTAAAAAACCATTTAATATCATTAATATCTAATAGAGATATAATATTTAGATAGATAGATAGATAGATCATTTATTTATGCCAAGGCCGTGGCCGAATGGCAAGTATAAACAGAAAAATACAATTTAATTACAATTTTTCTTATTATAGTACATAGTATAAATATAAATATATAATGAATTTATTTAATGATTTAATAATTCTCTCGATTTTATTGATTTAATTGAGCACCATGAGACAACTATTGAGTTATAGATCTAAGTTAAAAAGATAGTCATAAACCTTATTTTTAAAAATTTCAATGCTTGATGCATTGATCACCTCAGTTGGTAGTTCTTCCCATAATCTGGTAGCAGTTACAACAAAAGAGAACTTAACTCATAATGCGTAGTGGTGAAGTTTGGCATTTTAAAGGTGACATTATTTTTCTTTATTTAGGTTTAAATCATTCAAATAATTTATAATTGAATTATTGCTACATCAAAATGTTAAAAAATCACCCTCTAAAAAATAAGGAGTTTAGACAAATTGCTAATTAGACCGGCGATTTAATTAAACTAATGAAATTCTATTGACTAATTAGTCAATTCGGTTCAACATGTTAAGATTTTAATGTTAAATTAATGATTCTTATCGAAAACCGTTAATGGCTATCTAATGGAAGTAATCTTTTAATTATTCACTGTGAAAATCATCATCACAATACTTGATTATATAAGTCACTTTTGATAGTTCTATTAATATGAGATTTATTTTAGTATGGCAAATACAATTGAAAGTACATTCAATATCGTACTTCTTCCTCAATTTATTTGCTATCCGCTAATTTTTTGTTTTCAAGGATACGCAATGTTAACAGTAAGTATTGCTTTAATATAAAATCTAATTAATACAGCAACAAAAGTTAAATTAAAGTTTTTTTAGAGCATGGCTAAGACCCAAGCTTCGAGTTTACAAATTTTGTATTACCTAAGTTACGACACCTACACACTATATCATTTGTTCATCTTCTGTTGGATTGGAGAACAACTAATTAATGAGGTTGATATTCACTTAAAATAAACTTTTTGTTTTTCAAAGATTTTTTCAAGCTACGAGAATGAATTTTTTGATTATTAGAGTAAATTAATCAGCTCATCTTTTTATGAAAGTTCGTGGTATAATTACTCATATACCAATTCACGATCGCTTATGTTAATTGGATATCGAGCGATGCGGCCGCTTTACATATCAGCCGGAAAATATGCCCGATTTTCACTCAGTTTATTCGTTTCGGTAAGTTTTATTAAACTAATCAAATTTTATCATTCACGTTGTTTATTGATCTTTATTTTTACTATTGAAGTTATTAAAGACATCAATGGGTTATTTATCGATGCTTAGAGCAGTTCAAGTACGCAATTTATAAATTATACTTTTAGTGTACAATACTGAAGATTATGTAAGATTTTATACTTATCTTTAATGTGATAAAACAATAAAATTTTCGAACTGATGTTTCATGTATAATAAATCTAAAAAACGGTTGAACTTTTCGTCTTTTTTGAGCTTAAAAAGTTCGAAAATTTTCCTATTGGTTAATTTTTGAGCTCTCCGAGCTCAAAAATGCAATTGATACATAAAAAAAAATAATAATCTAGAAATTTTTACATGGCTATAAATTTTGAACTTGTCATTAGATTTTGACTTACTTAGTGAAGACCAGTGCGGCTAGATCATGAGTAAAAAGTACCGCCACTCAGCATTACGCACTCTGTTATTTCATCTAGGAAAGGAGTCGGCCTGACGCCCAGCCAAAATTGATTGCAACGATTTTCTAGGACCTAAAAACGTGAAGATCTGAAGAAAACTCACAATATTTAGTTAAAGTTTTTAAGCCATATTAGGTCAAGGACTAGTAGATGTTTCTTATTCAAGCCCAAAGATGGATGGTCCATCTTCCCTTTTGTTCGAGAGCTATATTCTCTCTTCCCATTAGTTCGATGGGTATCCATCGAACTTGAATACTAGTAAAGCTAGAAGCTTGTGGTATCTGTTCGAGTTGTGTAGATGTTCATTAAGTGAAAGATAGTGAAAGAAAATTTGAATAAGAGTAAAGACAGACTGAAAAAATTTGGGCTTGAATAAGAAACATCTACTAGTCCTTGTCCTAATATAGCTTAAAAACTTTAACTAAATATTATCAACTAGGTCTTAAAATTTCATGAAAAACTTACAATCTCAAAATCGGAACGAAATCTACAATTTCCTATTTTTTAAAATTATTAATTTTTAAAGCAGAAAGTTATAAACTTTTTTATCTTTTAATAATATTATTAAATTTGTTGTTAAAAAAATATCTATAATCTCAACGTTTCTATTCATTCAATATTAAACAATTTTAAAACAAAAATAAGTAAAGAGTGGATTTAGTGATTTTAGATCTTGAAATATTTAAAATTCAATTTAAAAATGTGTTATTTACTTACGAGTCTTCTTCTTATTTTTTTTTTTATTAATATCAATTTTAAATTTCTAATTCAAACATGAAATGAAAGAAGTTTTAAAGGAAATTAAATAAAGGCCTAACAGCGAATATCTTAACAATAACAAGAATGATCAAATTAATTTATTACATGTCGTTAACAAGATCATAGTTTTCTATTTCTGGTAGTGTGTCTATGTCTATGTCTACTGTTTTGTGATAAACTTTCATTTGAACAAAACTTTTTTCGTACGCATTGCATATGATTATATAAAAAATTACTGGAATAATTGAATAAATAATCGATCATGCGCGCAACACTGGGAATATTACAACTATCTTCAAAACGATCGATAACACCGTAGGATGCAACCAGTAATCATTTGACAACCTAACAATAAATATGAAAACCTCAGGTATAGATTTAGACTGTTGCTATCTATTGCTTAGAATATGAAAATCAATTGAAAAATATCTAAAGAATTTCATTTTCTTTACAATGATGAAAGTAATTGTTTTATTTAAAAAATTTTATAATTTAAATAAACATTTTTTGCACAAAAAACTTTGCCTACAGTTTTTGTTAAATTAATTATTGAATTAATTAAAATATTTTATTCCTAATTATTTTTAATTTGAAACAGTACTATTTGTCTTCAAGTAAGCTTTACGAAAAATAAAAATAAATTTTCTAATTATCAGTAGGGTTTCAATATGCATGTCAATGGAGTGAATTGAGCTTACGTATCCTTGGAATATGGCCATTATATAATTTTACTTTACTAAAAAAATTACGAGTTTATTTGTACACTATTTTCGTTGTTGCCGTATTTTATTTGCCACACACCGGAACAATCATCACTATTTGGGGTGATATTGATAGTATGGTAAATTTACTTTCCTATAATGTTTCTGCGATGGTTGCAATTGCTAAATATATTGTTTTGTATAAACAGAGACATGGTAAGTTATTTAAAATAATTATACACATAAAAGCACACCTCCTTCAAACTACCTCTTTTTACTACAAGCTACTTAGAGAAATCTTTTTTGGTAACTGTAATAAAGCTTTGGGAAGAACTCCCACGCGAAATTGTAAATTCGAGTAGCTTACAAGTCTTCAAAAAAGAAGTATTTAATTACTTATTAAATCTTGATAATTAAAACAAATTCTAATAAATAACAAATTTAAATTAATTCATTGAAAATTAAATATTAAAATAAGGATGAAGTAATCGCAATTCGCAAAATTATTATGCTGAGTTATCATTGAATCTGATGACATTAAAATTATTATTTTTATATATTAAGTTTCAAGTTTAATATGATTTTCTTTTTTACCTTGTTTACATATAAATAAATTAAATTAATTATTGTGCAATATTATATTATATTATGTACTCACGGAAATTGCTCTCTTGTAAAAACTGTATTTACTATGTAATTGAAATTGCCATTTGGCCTGTGCCTTGGCATTAAATAAACAAAATCTAAATCTAAATCTAAACATAGAAAAAAAAATTTACCTTCAAAATTATTTTTTTGGTTCAAGAATTTTTCTTTTGATTCAAGTTAACTTTTTTTTTTTCTGTGCAGCCATATAAATACCAATTAAAAGATTATAATAAATATCTTAACTTTTCAATTGAATATTTTCAACTGAATACTCAAATATTTAGCTCTGGCATCGATTATTAAGCTAATGGCTGAAGATTGGAATTCTGTAAAATCGGAACATCACGTTAAAATAATGATGAATGAAGCAAGAATTGGAAGATTACTGGCATTTATATCACTTTTATATGCTCCTTTAATCGTAATTTTACATATTTTAGTTACGGTAAGTAATTTCAGTTTAACAAAACAAAAAAAAAAATCTAAAATTTATAATGAACAAAGAAGAATAGTTTTTTGGAAATTTTATAGACTTATTTAAAACCAGAGAAGTTTTTTCTCTACGGATCAATTCCGACGATAGCAAGCAATCTGATGTGGCCAAGCTATTTTCCATTTAATACATCAAGAAAATATATTTTCGAAACAACCTGGGTGTGCCAAATAACTGCGACCTTGTTTACGTCATTAGTATATGGAACTTTTGATACTTTTATGTCGGTAGTTGTTCTGCATCTTTGTAGTCAACTTGCTATCGTTCGGGTTCAATTAAAAAATATCTACAACGACGTAAATCAACATCCGTATGCTGACAAACTAGTTGCAAATAAACTTCGATATATTATCCAACGACACCAAGAGCTTATCAGGTGAAAAATAAATGATTGATTTTATTCTTCTATTTGATTAATGTAGTTAATTATAATTAATTTAATTTATGTTTTTTTTTTTTTATTCAAGCTCGGGAGAAACTATTGAGAGAACTTTTAATCTAATACTTCTTCCACAATTGATATGCTATCCACTAATTTTTTGTTTCCAAGGATATGCTATGTTAACGGTAATTTTATGCCAATTTTTACAAAAGTTATTTAGTAGTCTTCTTTTAGATTTGGATTTGGTTTACACTGAGAGAAAAAATGTCTTTTGAAAAAAAATGGACATTTTTGTGACAAGAAATTAATTTGTTGACAATTTTTAAAAATTTTATTTTTTAGCTGAAAAAATAAACATTTTTCTCACAGTAACTTTCTTGTTAAAAAAAAAAGTTTTTTTGATTTGGAAAAAAACACTATTTTTTATGAAAATTAAAAAGTTATCTATCTAAAATTGTTTTTTTTTTTAAAGAAATAAAATTGTTGAAAATTTTCAACCAATTTCTTATTACAACATTGCTTATTTGGTTCAAAAGAAATTTTTTTTCTCAAAAGGTAAGACAAAAATCAAAATGGCAACTTTTGAGCGCTGCAATATTAAAGAACAAAGTTGTAATTTGATCATAAAATAAAAATGATTCAAAAAATAGATTTTATAAAATAAAGAAAAAATATATTTTAAAATCTGAAATTTTTCCAAAATTGTGTTTGTTTATACCTACGTAATTGGATCATAAATAATTTGTAATTTTTTTAACTACTTCTAATAGAGTATGGCTAAAACTCAAACGACAAGTCTCCAAATTTTGTACTATCTGAGCTATGATACTTACACGTTATATCATCTATTTATATTTTGTTGGATTGGAGAGCATCTTTATCATGAGGTTATTTCTTTATTTATAAATTAATTTTAATTCTTAACTGTTTTTCCAAAAAATGTGATCAAATTTTTTTATCATTTTTGATCCAGAGTACGTCCGTTGGATATGCTTACTACGAAAGCATCTGGTATAATCACTCAATTAAGAATGCATATTCACTCTTAATCGTTGGCTGTTGTACTTTAAGACCACTTCGTATAACAGCCGGAAAATTTGCTAATTTTTCTATTCACTTGTTCGTGGCAATACTAAAAACTTCAATGGGATATCTTTCTATGCTTCGAGCTGTTCAAAGCCGTGGATGATTCAATATTGATATAATCAGCAGTTTATCAATTTAAAAAATTACTGTGATATGTGAATATAGAATATTGTTAATTATAACAACTATTTTTTTGCTCAAAATATTGTTGCTATTATTTTTTTTTTTAAACGATTGTCAAAGGTACGAATTTTAAGGTATTAGAAATATCTTATGATTATAAAGTGATCATCAAAAGCCCATTTTCAAATTTCCTGACTCTAAATAAAATTCCAGTATCTACTAAAAAAATTGTAAAAGTAATTGTAATTAGTAATAATAATACAAGGAAAAAAGTAAACTGTAATATTCACTCGGATTCCGGTTAGTTTTTATAGTTTCAAACAGTAAATCGGACATCGGGGTGGCAAAAATATAAATATTACAGAACTTAATGTAAAAAGTATAAAAGCCACAATTTATAATTTAATTTCCAAAATAAGTGATTAGTAGCTGTCACTATAGTAAATAACGACTCTTTCATCTTAAAAAATTACAGTTTCAAACAGTAAAAATTGCCATTTCAATATATAGACCATATTATGAGGAGAAGGGGAACTCGGATGAAAAAGAAGGGAGTCTCACTCTGGGAGAATTTAACATTTGAAACAGTAAAAATTATACTTTTAAAATATACATTTTACCAGTCCAAGCAGAAGTCAATAATTACAATTTGATTTTTAGCGTTGCGTTTAAAATTTACCATTTTACTTTGTAAATATTGACGTTGCTTGTATTAGAAATTTACTAACTTTATTTTATACTTTTTACATATCATAAGATCATTTTTTAGGTACGAAATGTAACATTTTAGACATTTACATATCGAATATTACTGTTTGAAATAGTATTTTCTTCCATGTAAAGAGTAAATTGTAACATTTAAATAGTAAATATTACAAAGTGACTAGTAAAATCACGATTTTATCGTTTAAAATAGTAATTTTTAGCAGTTGATCATTACTTATTATAAATCGACTGTTATTTATTACAGTTTACTTTTTTCCGTGTAGTACACTCCCATAATTTTTCTCATACATTTATCACTTAATATTGAAGATATTTTTTTCCATTTTAAAAAATGTTAATTACAAAAATTATCCATAAATATTTTTTATTATGTAACTTATAAAAACTTTTTTTTAAATATTAAATTAAATTAGTTAAATTAAAATAATTCAGAACCATTAAATTAAACATTTTTTAAACCAATTTTGATGGTGAATATTAACAACAAAAAGACTTTTGTATATGACAATTGTGTTGATTTGTAAGGAGGTCTCAACTATTGAGTAGTTTCTGCGCAACTGTAAGAGTTTATCCGCAAGTTTGATCTGAGGTAAACTTTTTTTGCAGTCTTATAGAACTCATGAAAAAAAAAAAAAAAAAAAAAAAAAAAAAAAAACAGTGAAGATATATAATTAACAGGTCATGCGCGTCTATAACCGATAGTTAATAATTTAAGAAAAAATCGATAATAGAGCGAAGAATGATTCTTTTTATTTCCGAATTTCATACCATCAATTTCAATGCAAGAGAATTCAGGTATTGAATTACGTATGTAAATATTATTTTACGATAAAATTGTAAAATAATAAATAATGCATAGAATTTCATTACGAATGTGGTGTAAACAAATTCATACTGGGCCTTATTGGAGTTTGGCCAGAGTCAAATCAAAAATTCATAAAAAAACATCGTACTTTGGTCGACGCGATCGTGCTTTTTATAACACTATGGGTTCCACGTGCAGCTGCCTTTGTTTTACTATGGGGTGAAATCGACGCTTTGGCACAAGCCGGTGCCACCAATGTACCGATAGCATTGTCTGTTGTTAAAATGCTGATTCTTTATCGACGAAAAAATGGTATTATTGTTTAAAAATTTATTGCTATGATTATAATTTAATTAATACTGATGAAGATAATGATATGTGATAATTTTTGTTTTGTAAATTATTATTTTTTTATTAGTTAATATTTAATATTAACAGATTTTGCAAAAATTCTGGATGGAATGAAAGAAGACTGGAAAAAACCAATGACAAAAGAAGAATATGAAGTTGTTATAAAAATGGCAAGACTAGGAAGAAGAATAAGTATTATGTCCACTTTTCTTACAATTAACGCAATTTGGCTGGGTGCTGTTGTACAGGTAAAAAAAAATATATCAATTTTAAGTCTTGTAAGATAAATTTAGTCGGACTTGGAATTTTGCTACTAAGGTAAAGTACCCAGTAGTTGAACAGGTTTCAAAGTAAAACGTATTTGACTCTAGTTTTAATATATAAATATGTAATTATTAGTTCAAATTAGTGATTTTTATGAAAATATAAAAAAATTTTGAATTGATTCAAGTCAAAATAACGCAAATAATTGAATATTTAATATAAAAATTATAGTTTATGTCTTTGCAAAAAATATGTATTATTTAGAAAAGACTATTTCATTGGGTGGTACAATTTTTTTCACTTAAAATGATGATATACCGTTTTTTTTTACTGATTGTTCGGTTTACGGTTTAGTACCTTTTTCATGAAAAAAATATGACACTGAAATTAGCAGACGTCTAAAAATTTTTGATTTTTTTTTATTAATTAAATTATAACTAAAAAAATATTTCTAACAAATTGCACTTATAGTTTTTCAAGTTTTTTACATGTGAAATTTTTTTTTTTAATTGTTTAATTTAAATTTTTTCAATAAAAAATTTCTAAAAATTTTGAAATGTCGGCCAACTTTATTTTCATGAAAAAAATAACATCTATCGGCGATTCTTGACATGTCAACTTTAAAGTTAACAAAAATGTAATTGTTTTGATTTATAATTGAAAAAACTTACCAAAATCAATTACTGTATCATTGAATAATTATAAAATGCGCATATGACTCATAATATATATATATATACAGATTCTGTATTACAGCAATTCTAAAAGTCTGTTCAACTACTGGTCCCATTTTTAGAAGTGTTCAAGTACTGGGTACTTTACCTTAATATTAAGAAATCTCAAATTAAAATTTTTTTCATCTACAATCCCAAATTAAGCAGTATTAAATACAATTAATATAAATGCGCATAATATATAGATTTTTTATAACATCGAAACGACAATAGTGGAAAATCCAGACCCTCGTTTGACATTAAACTTATTTTGGGTCGTATATTTACCCTATGATACATCAAAAACATCGAACTTTGTGTTAACGTGGGTTATCCACTTTTATACCTCTATTATGAGCGCCGTAGTTTACGGAAGTTTCGATGGGTTTATTGTCGTCCTTGTGTTCCATCTTTGCGGACAATTGGATTTATTGCAGATTTGGGCACGAAAAATAGCAGACAAAACAGACTTGAAAAGCTTTAAGAGCAAATTAAGATTTATAGTAAAGCGACACGAGCAATTGAATGAGTAACAAAAATTTTTTTATTTCAGTGAAATTTTTATAAAATATCAATTTCAGAATTTTCAAATAATCTTTTGTATTTTAATAGAGTAGCTGATATACTTGATGATTCATGCAACTTTGTGTTTCTACCCCAACTAATGAGTTGTATATTAACATTGTTTTCAAGGATTCTCTATTGCGACGGTAAAAATTAAATATTCTGATTAAAATATTTCACAAAGCTTCCTTTTTTTTTATTTTACCCGCTAGGTTTTGATATAGTATCAATTTATGTGGTTCAAATTAATTTAATACAATTTATCTCTATTTTTTTTTTTTTTTTTTTTACGTAGAAAATGTTTACAGGTCAATTTAACCCATTGCAAATTGCATTTACATTATTTTACACAACAGTTATGGTGCTTCATCTTTTCTTCTGTTGCTGGGCGGGTGAACTTTTATCATCAAAGGTACACTGTTATATAATCTCATTAATTCAATGATTAAGCGTAATTTTTCTTGAAAAAAAAAATTAAATTGAATTAAAAGAAAAATTCTTGAATCAAGTAAAATTTACTTAAACCAAAAATAATTTCTTAATTTAATAATTTTTTTACTCAAATCTAGTTATAAAAATCTTTTCTTGATTCGAGTTAATTTTTTTTTTTATTCCTTATAGCTAAAAAAAAATAAATATTATAAAATAAATTATGTTATACAGAGTGAAAATCTTGGTTACGCAGTTTATCAAAGTAAATGGTATAATTTACCACCAATACCTGCTCGATCATTAATAATGATTATTCAAAAAAGTTCCAAACCATTTGTACTAACAGCTGGCAAATATATGCCAATGACTTACAACTTATTTCTTATCGTAAGCTTCATAATCATCTTAAATTATACTGTAATTTCATTAATTAATTGATAGTGCTAATACATTTTATAAACTACAGGTTGTGAAAACATCAATGAGTTATCTTTCAGTGATGTTTGCCATGTCAACAGATTAACAAGTACTTTTATCGACAAAATGTTAAATTTAAAAAAATCATCTTTCTTGATCATTTTAGAAAAATAAATTAATTTTCACTAATTTCTTAATGAGAATAATCAATCAGTTGTGTGAAAGTGCATCCGTTTTAAAAAATTTTTCAGGGTATCCGCAAGCTCAGCATGTGCAATAAGTATTGATTGACAGAGACCTAGAAAATAGGGCGTATTGGTTCATATACAGGAAACATCTACGCTGTTCCCTCGCTGAAATACTCAGACAAAATAAATTGCGCAAGCTCGCCAGTAAAAGCACGCTGCCATAGCTACAATGTTGTGTTAAGACTTCACTTAACAACTATAATTCGTCATTCTCTATCTCTAAACAAGATACCTAAAACAAACTTTTTCCTCCCCCAATAAACTTACAAACTCAAGGATCGTTGACCGCTGAAAATGCAGTAGAAATAAAAATAATTTTGTTCATTGCTCAGCGATCATAGTTCAGTAGTTTTATCGTTTTCTTCCCTCCTAAACATTAATTATTCACAAACTAGCTGCCGACCCTCGAAACTTTTTTTTTCCTCAAAGTATAGAAAACTGTAATTGATTACACAGAAACTATAACTTACTTTTAAAATTTCTAAACTTTGTTTTCTAGCAGATGGCTGGAAGTTTTCTACGAGGGAGCGCAAAAACTAATAACTAAAACTTTATTTTATACTTGTTTAACTAACAAATTTTGCGTTAACAATAATCTACTTGCAATAGAATTTTTTTTTTTTTTTCAAGTACATATTGAGTTTTATTCCAATCGGGGTGAATATCTACTGTTAAAAAATTTTTAATCAACTTGTTTGCTGCACTGATAGAAGGATTTGTTTGTATTTAATAAATCAATTTATTAAAATCTTTTACAGATATTTTCTTGGGTGGAAAAATTATTTTTTTACTATTAACAATATTCGTTAGTATTAGGGGAGACCGGGGCATAGCGGCCCACTTAAGCGCGTTATTATTTCTAGCTACTATTGATCATCTAAAAAATTTTCTTATGTTTTATCTTGCGGGAATATATGATAATTTGGTCAAAATCCACAAAAAAAAAAAAAAATCTCTTATTAAAAATATCAGTCGAACTGCTGCATCATCCAAAGCAAAAGTAAGACAAAACACATCGAGGTTTCATCTAACACTTTACGACATCAAGCCATTGGTTTCATGTAAAAATATCCACGGGCAATTACATCCACGGACATTATATCCCCGGACACTATATCCAGCGATGCTGTGTCAGCGTCATAATGTCCGCGGAAAATTTGGGGATTGGGTGAATAAAGGATATGGGGGAAGGGAGGACCTTTTTTTACTCAGTAGAAATTATTTTGGTAACTGAAAAAATATAATTCGGACAGCCCGGACCGGGGCTCGAACCCGGATCGTTCAGTTAAGCGCCAAAGACTCTACCAGTTAAGCTATCCGAGACACTGTCCGTAACTACTATTCAGTCACCTATTAAGACCTGACTTGAGTAAACACCACCGTCTATCTTGCGGTAAATAACAAATATTAGTTTGTAGTTGAATTTGTCGTGTGGGCAAATTAGCGACATGATCGGGGACACAATGTCGCGGGGGTACTCTGTCACGGGGATATTTTGTCGCTTGGATATTTTGGTTGGGAACCAAGCCATTGCCATCAAGAGATTCCCCGCAAAAAAAAACGACGTCGGGGTGTGACGAGGATTTTAACAAGTAAACAATACTATGATGAGCTGGAAGAAAAAAAAATAATCAAAAAATAAAAAATAAAATAACAGAAAAAGTCACTAATAAAAACAAAGCTCCAAAAATGAAAAAAAAAAAAAGTTCTCAAGTAGAAGACAGTGATTGCCATTGCCTGTATTGTAATGGACTCTATTCTGTGTCAAAGGAATCATGGATTCAGTGCAATAACTGCAAAATGTGGTCTCACAATTCCTGTGCAGGTATTGAGCAAGATTATTCAGATGAATATACCTGTGATTACTGTCAAAAAATGGTTCATTTTGTCCCGGATTTCGCTATTCAACTAAAAAAATTAAATTTATTTTTTGACAAAATTTTTGGAGTGGGCCACTGTGCCCCGGGTGGGCCGCCGTGCCCCGGCCTCCCCTAACTAAATCAATTTTTTATGAGAACAAAATTTTTGTAACTATTAAGAAGCTTTAGTGTATTGAAAAAAGTATTTATTTCCACCAAATACTTCATTAAATATCTAATTCTCTGATTTTTTTACAATTAAAATAAAATATTGAAACACGTTTTTGAGGAATTTTTGAAATATTCATAATCCAGTGTGTATTAAATACTAATAAATGATTTATCAAATATCAATAAATCATTTTATAGATGTTAATAAATCATTTATTAAATATTAACAAATCTTTTTAAATACAAAAAAATCCTTCTATCAGTGTGTTTTTATAAAAGCATAAAATACAAATATTAAAGTAACAATTCTAGTGAATCGAAGCTCATTCAAGCAACAGGTGGTTGACGATTTTTTTTTCTCTATCTTTATTTGATAGATAGTTAAACCCACCATTCATATTGAATGAACTTACTAAGTAATTGAATGAAAGTTAAGTACAGTTGACATTTAGTGATAAATATTTAGATTACATTTTTATTTTATCACTATAATTTTATTTTAATTGTGTAATGCACTGATTCGCGTAATATAAATTAAGTAAAAGTAGTTATGAAAAGCTTTCACCTTTTATTCTCGGCAAATTTTAAATGACATGTTTTGTGATAAAAAATAATATATCTGTCACTAGGTTTTCTTGTGACAATAGAAAAAAAAAGGAAAGCATGCCAATTTTACAGTCCGATTACCCTAATAAAAAACAGTGGTTTGAAAAAAAATTTTTACAGAAGGAACGTATTTATAGGCTTGATAATATTATTAAAGTGGCATTACGTTAGTTTACCACCGAGAACACTGACTGAAGTTATACACTTGTTCATTTTTTAAGAGTTATTTTATAATGAAGTGCTATTACGAATTATTGACTATTGCAATTTTATTCAATGTTTTTGTAATTGGCTGTAATGCTAATGTGGCATATGCCAAAAATCACAGACACACATCCAATTCAGTGTTGGTTGAAGTAGCGAAAGAATTGGTAGAGAGATCCAAAAATACGAACCAGGTAACTAATTATTTTTTTTTTTTTTTATTTTCTAGTAGTACAATATTTTTTAATTATTTTTTATATTTATTTTATTTTTGATACTTAGGTTCTTAATTTAAATCTATCGAATTTAATTTTGCTGCTGATGTTAAAAACTATGGTCATAGGAACAAAGTATTTAGAAAATAATGACTATAAAAACCGCGAACTTGAAGAAGGTGATAATCGATAATTTTTTTTATCATAATAACACACTGAAAAAAAAATTAACTTGAATTAAGAGAAAAATTCTTAAACCAAAAAAATAATTTTGAAGAGTTTCATTGTCTTGAATCAAGTTGAAAAAATCTTGAATCAAGAAAAATTTCTTAGTTTAAGAAAGTCCAAAATTATCTACTTGATTAAAGTTAATTTTTTTTTTACATTTTATTTATTATTATTTTTAAAACAGAAAATATCGTATCAGAAGAAGAGATCGCTCTTGCATTGGGATATTTGATAGGTGATACCTGTCTTTATCGAGCAGCATGTGAAGTACCAAGAACTGCTAGAAATTACTTGCACGCAATTGATATGATAACTCAGACCCTGAGTTTGATGCCACCGTAAATTTTATATTCATAATTTTTTTTTTTTTTTTTTTAATATATTATAAATATTAATATTAATTGATACTTTTATTTTTTAATTTTTTACAGAACTCTCCGCCCTGACAATGATTATGAAAAAACAATTTCTGATTTTCGCAAGGCAATTGAGTATGGAGAACTGAAACAATGCCCACCGGAGTATAGTTGTAAAAAAGAGAATATTAAAAACTTTCTGCGACCTGAATACAATTAATTGATGTTAGTATAATTACTGGACTGATTTTTATTTTTAATTTTACATTCAAATTATATACAAATTTCATTTAATTATTTTATTTTTTATATACTTAGTAATCAGCTATTTTTATTTTGCATTCAATTTATGGAATGATTAATGTGAAAAATGTATTGTGATTAACCTCATGATTAAAATGAATGATTTTTATTTTATAAAAAAAAAAAAAATAAAGAAAAAAAGCGATTTCTATTTTTACAAACTACTAAACAATTAATAATTATTATTATTAATATCATCATTATTATTACAAATTTTATTTAAAATGGCTCAATTGACATTAAATTTTCTAATTATTCTTAAATATTATTTTTTATAAAATAGCTGTTGAATATTCAAATAATAATCGCGATATTAATCCGTTCAATTATGTAGGTGTTGTAACTTCGAGTCGTAAAACCTGCAAGAGAAACGTGTAATTGAATACACGCATAAATTCAACAAAAGCGGGACGTTTAATTATCAAAAAAAAAAAAAATACGAAAAAAATCGAACAAAGACAAAGTAACGTAAATAATGCACCTATCATGCGTTTAAAATAAACATTAATTATAATTATATTGATATAGCATTAGTAAAAAATATTTAATTTCATTATTAGCTAAATAATTATTAAATTATAAAAAAATGAGGTTTTTTTTGTTCATAGATCAGACAATTAAACATATTTCGTATCATGTACAAATGTTGGAACAAAATCATGCTATATAAATCTATCTAAAAACTAAATTAACTTAAAACAAAAAACGGGACAAATCATAAACATCATTAATAGCAGTATCACAGCAATTTCACGAATTGCAATTGAATGGATTAATTAAGGAAGATAAATGTATTTTATATGTACTTGGTCCGTGTGAGTGCACTACTGCCCATCGTAGGATCCATCATACGGTTCCAATTTGTTTGTCCGACGACAAAGCCAACTGCCCGTAATTTTTCTTGCTGCTTACGTTCTTCCAGGTCAGCCCATCGGACCTGCAACATATTTGATAAAAAATTATTACTATTGATGTAATTATTTTTATTTTATTAAATTATGTACTAACAACCTTGCAGTTACTAGGTGACTGCTGTGACTTGCGAACTATAAATAGATAAAATTTTGCTTTATTAAATAATGACTTTTGTTAAATTGCACTGTACTTTCTTAACTATTGAAGTTTTTAAAGATATAAGCTCATCCCGATGTTACACTCATCAAGAGCTTTCATTTGAATACCCACATGCATTTTGATATATTTTTCATATATACATATATATATAATATATATAAATATATGAAAAATTGATGTGGGTACTCAAATGAAAGGTCTTGATGAGTGTAACATCGGGACGAGCTTATATCTTTAAAAACGTCAATATTTTTCAAAATATTTGTTAAATTGCACTGTCCTTCCTAACTATTGACCTTTTTAAAGATATAAGCTCATCCCGATGTTACACTCATCAAGAGCTTTCATTTGAGTACCCACATGCATTTTGATATATTTTTCATATATACATATAAATATATGAAAAATTGATGTGGGTACTCAAATGAAAGGTCTCGATGAGTGTAATGTCGGAGTGAGCTTATATCTTTAAAAATGTCAATAGTTAAGAAATTACAGTACAATTTAATAAATATCTTGTGAACTATTGACATTTTTAAATATATAAGCCCATATCAACGTTACACTCATCAAGAGCTTTCATTTGAGTATCCACATGCATTTTGATATATTTTTCATATATACATATATATAAATATATGAAAAATTGATGTGGGTATTCAAATGAAAGGTCTTGATGAGTGTAACATCGGGATGAGCTTATATTTTTAAAATTGTCAATAGTTCACAAGATATGAAGTCATTTCTTAATCTGTACTAATAAATGGAGAGCCGATTTTTTTGTCCGGTTATACTGCGAAAACTACTGAACCGATCGGAATAATACTTATACCATATAAGATGCAGCGTGTTTTGGAGAAGGTTTTAGTGTATGGTATGGTGGTAATTACTTATCCGGAACCTATATTTTTTTGACTTAGAAGTAATGAATTTTTATTGTAACTAAATTTATTCTATTCGATTGTCATTTGTTTAAAATAAATTTTTTAATTCTATTGGGTATGTTTATATACTAGGCAGATTTCTTCACTTATAAGACCTGCAATTTCTTTAACTGAAACTTTCAATGCTCATTACAAATTTTTTTTTTCATATCAATTATTATTCATTTTTGTAAGAAAGACACGGGAATGTTATAATGATTGCACATTGAAAGTTACAATGAATATTAGCTAGAATAATTACATGGATAAAAGGTAAATACTCTAATTAAATTTCAAGTTTAGATCTAAAAATGCAATTCTATAAAGCGCCCAGCGGAGCGGGCGAGCAACAGCTAGTTTAATTATATATCTAGAGATAGAGCATTTTCGAATGCAGACTAAATACTTATCATCATAAATTGACTGTTGGTGAGAATGATATGAAACCTTTAAAAGGCACAACTCCAGGTCAAGACTTTTCCAACGATACCAAATTTAACCATAAAAACTCATTTTATCATATAAATACACTGACCATAAAATTTTTCTTATTCTCTTAATGATATAGATTACAAAATTTTTAATTACTTACGCGTTTTTTCCCTGATGAATCTTCCGAGTCATAATAATCAGGAACTTGCAAAAAATCCTCCATTGTTTGAGGTTTGCTATCATTTTTACGTTTTGCTAAACCATCCAGACGGTCTGCAAATTTTTAAATAAAATTTTTTCATTAATATAACTGAGTCCAGGAAAATTTAATTTTTATAATCACTTATTTATATCCATGCATTAAACTAATTATAGCATTAAATTGATAATTAAATATAAGCTTACCTAATTTGTCTTCAGCTTCCATTTTTTCCCATTTGCTAACTCCCTATAAATGAATAAAATTAATAATACTAATTCTCAAGTAATCTTTATAACTTTATTAACGCTCAATTTATCAGTTCTGATGACATACAGCAACAACCACTAATATACCTTGTTATTATATGTTGACTTTGTATACATACATACATTTAAATTAAGTGCTACTCACTTATCATATCATATTATTAGGTAAAGATAGAGATATAAGTAGTTATAGCATAAAAACCCAATGATTATATTTAACTCTACACAAATAAAGCAATGCAAGCAACAAGTTATATACCCTTTACATATGATCAATAAACTCGTCTGATTAACTTGAAAGCAATTCGTATGCGATCAAAAGTATATAAATTATGCGGGTAACACTTTCAAATAAAGTACATACAATTAAATATCCTTTCTATATATTTTTTAAATAAACATCAAGGTCAGATTGATAAAAAACTAATCCAATTTATACAGATCTGAGTTATGATTCAATGAAACCGGTGTTACTATCTACTGTTATTACCTATGGATAAAATTTTTAAATATTTGATCAGTTTCAGTCAGAGACATGAAAAAATGAGAATTTTCAATAATTTTTTTTTGCCAGTAAATCATTTTACTTTATAAAAGTAATAATATGGCATCATTATACAATGTTTTGACTTGACTTTACGAAAATTTAAAAAAATAAATTGATAATTTCAAAAGTTATGGCTGTTTGTGTTAACCCAGCCCTAAAAAAAGGTCTTTACGGTGATCATCATAAATCCTTGGAGATTCATCGAAAATTAATCGGACAAAAAAAAATTAGTTTTGTTAATTAATAGATAATCTTGTGCCTGATCGAAGCTTTTTTTTTTAAAATTAACAAAATGGCGGCCTCAGGAAATTTTTCTCTAGATTTTCGGGAAAAAACCTCCAGTTAATTGTTTATAAAAAAATGGAAATTTTTGAAAAAAAAAAATCCTTCGATCAGGCACTAGATGTTTATGTTTTTCAATTTCATTGAAATCTAATAAGCGGTTTTCGAGTTACAGTGATCACCAATTCAGAAAACATAGTTTTAAGAAAAACGCATTTAAAGTTTTACACTCTTGAGAGCTACCTGCTCTCTAGCGTTCTGGAGTGCCTAAGCACCCTTCATTATTTGTCGAATAACTCGAAAAGTATTTGTCGGATTCACTTCAAATTTTCAGAGAATATTTTTAAGATATTATACTTAAAGAAAATGTAAAAATAAAAAATCGATTTTTTGAAAATTCTGACTACCCTTAACCCCTCAAAAAAAATAATATATGTAAACAAATATAATAATTAAATTTAACATTATACCAAGTTTTACAAACGATTTAAAATTCAATTAATTAAAAAATCTAACAAGTATTTATTAACTTAACAAAATTTATTTATAAAATTTATAAAAAATTAAAATAAATGTCTCACCAATGGATTCTGCCCTTCTTGACTATCCTGGCTATCTTCATTAGAGTCAGTACTTTTTTTATCAGTGAGAGGAGTTACTTCTTCCATTTGTACCTGATAAATCCAAAATAATTTTATTAATAACGGATCTTCTCAAATTCTTCACTAACTGTGTATGAATCCAGTAAATTATTCGAGTAAGTTACCTGTTCGATGGCTTCGTCTTGTAACAATGATGAGACATCTAATTTTTGATGATAATTCGGTGTCGGCTCAAAGTAATCAATAATTCTATTTATCTCATCTTCAGTTCGGTTATGAACGTTACGTTTTAAACATATTTGAACGTCCATGTCCATTTCACATATGTATACCTTTAATCAAAAGAAAATTATTTATTTATTATAATTAGAATTTGATATTAATTAAAAATGAAAATATTTTTTGGTAGTAAAAGTATAATTATATTACCCGAAAGCCTTTTGATTTAGCAAAGCTCCACATTTCTTCATAGTCAGAAATTTTTTCATTTATAGAATCAAGTATTATAAAATTGAAAAAGCCATCAACGATATTTTTCTTAAAGGCTTTGACTAGTGATGTTAAATAACTTGATTCCATTCCCTCTTCATACTCGTACACCATTTCCTGCAATTAAAAAAAAAATGATGATCCAGTTGTTTTAGTTTTTAAGTATTAATAAATAATAAATAAATAATAATAATAACTAGCAACCTAGCAGTCACTATGTGACTGCCGTGACTTATGAACTATAAATAAATAAAATTTTGCTTTATTAAATGACGACTTTTGTTAAATTGCACTGTACTTTTTTAACTATTGACGTTTTTAAAGATATAAACTCATCCCGATGTTACACTTATCAAGAGCTTTCATTTGAGTACCTACATGCATTTTTATATATTTTTCATACATACATATATATATAATATATATAAATATATGAAAAATTGATGTGGGTACTCAAATGAAAGGTATTGATGAATGTAACATCGGGATGAGCTTATATCTTTAAAAATGTCAATACTTCACGAGATACAAGGTCGTTTCTTAATAATGTTAAATTACACTGTACTTTTTTAAATATTAACACTTTTTAAAGATATAAGCTCATCCCGATGTTACACTTATCAAGAGCTTTTATTTGAGTACCTACATGCATTTTTATGTATTTTTCATACATACATATATATATAATACATATAAATATATGAAAAATTGATGTGGGTACTCAAATGAAAGGTCTCGATGAGTGTAAC